GGCGGCTCCCGAGACCCAGGCGTGATCCCGTTCCCGGCTCCTCTCAGGTTTGGAGTAAAAGGTGCACTTCGAGGCACGGCAAGCGTGGGGAATGTGCTGGCCCGCTCCCAAAATACCTCTGCCAGCAAAAAGCCTTCCCGTGTATTTGCTCCTGCGTTCGGGCAGCCGCGGGCATACCGTGTATCGCCACCCGAGTACCTCTGTGGCTTTGGCCTACACCTGTTTCATATTCCCACATTCTTTTGTGAAACAGTGAACAAGATTTCCGTTTCTCCTCCCCCCCACCCCCACCCCCCCCATGACTTGGTTTAATTTTTTTAAAAATAATTTTAAAAGGGAGGGGGGAACGTCAGCCCTTTAAAGCAGTACTTCCTCGGGGATAAAAATAATGCACCTGGGTAAATAAAAACAGAAATCGATCAAAATGTGTTTTGAATCTTTAGTGAGTGAGTTTATATAGTTGTTTCTGATCGCCACATCCTTTATGATAGGAGTCTGATTTCAGTCTCGTGCTTTCCTTATTTGTTTTACTTCTGCTCAGTTAATAAAATTGGGCTTTTCTTTTTTCAACTTCAGATAGTTTCTCAGCTCTGGATGGCCAAGTTCTCAAACTAAATGGAATAAAATGAAATGCAAAAACTGTTTTTGCAACCACAAGACAGTGGTTTAAAGCTGTTTGTTTTCAGCAAATTTGAATTTTGGGGGCTTAGCTGATGAGTTCTGCCAGTTTGGTAATACCGCTTTCGTAAAGGCAGTGTGTGGGAGTTTAGCAAGCAGCAAGTTCAGCACACTTTCCTTTGCACTGCAAAGATTCTTAGAATTAGCAAAAAAAAAAAAAAATGTTTGGGATCCAGCTGCATTTGGTAGCTGTGAGGATTTTTGAATGTTCATGACAGACAGATGTAAAGAAAGTCTATTCCTGGATATTTACAGTTGTACTACTCTACGGTGCTTGTGTTGTAAGAATGGATATGCAGGGAGCAGTATAAGGAACCATGGTTGCTAAAATATATAATTAATAAAAATTACATATGAGCTTAAACATGCAGATTAAAATCAGAGGAATGCTTTATGTGTAGTAATTAGATGCACTTAAAATCACACCTCCTTTGTAGGCAATACAACTGCTTTGTCTGTGCTTGTCGAGTTACAATGCTTGGCGCTTCTTAAGTAGAAGAGGCTTTTAAAACGTGTGTATATGTGTAACTTTTGGAGTAAAAGGTTTTGTTTGACTGATTTATGTTGCCTATGCAGCATGAATGCAGAAATAGGAAAATGAGAGGATTCATTGTAAGCATATGCTTTATCAACAGCGTTTGTTAACAAGCTCTTTCAATATTGTTTCTTCATATGACTGTGTTATGTTCAGATAGAAAATCAGGCAACTTTCAGAATTAAGGTTAAGTCTGCTAGCTTGGAAATTAGGAAGTAGAGGCAAAATTAATTTATGAATTGATTTAACAGTTATTAATATAGCTGCTTTTATATCAGGTACTTTTCAAGAGTGTAATGGTATTTATGTATTCTTTAGGAAATGTCAGCTTTCTACTTCAGCAG